TCCGTTTTAACTTAAAGCGTTATAGAAATTAACAGTATCTCCCTTAATTAATTGTTAAAATTAACAGTATCTCCCTTAATTAATCGTTAAAATTAACAGTATCTCTCTTAATTAATCGTTAAAATGTTTAACCAAAGTCAATTGATAGTTTATTTTATTAAAAATAGTTTATATTTCCATATCTTTTTTTTTTTGAATAAATATGGAAATATTTCACATAAGTTAATCAAAATGTTTTCAGCAGAATCACGAAAGTCTTTTCCAAAATTTCTAAATTTTGGAAAAGACTTTCGTGATACAAAAGTTTGCATTCAAGTTTATGTCTCTTTTTTCAGTAAATATTTATTTTCAGCCTTAAGTACATATATTGTTCTCACTTATCATTTTTGCTCATCTTTAAATCATATTTAAGTCATCTTTTAATGGAATCATCCACACAAACGGATATATTGCATATATATCCATTTTTATATACCCATTTGTGGAAGTTATAAGTCCACAAATGGAATCATAACTTCCATACAAATGAAATCATAACTTCCACACAACAAAAAGTTGACATTCTTGTTAGAGCTATCTAGTTTTGCTTATGCTAGCTTAATATTATTTTGTGACAAGGTTACAAATTCTAGGAGCTTGATTTTCGAAAAAAAAAAAAAAACAAAGACTGAACTATGTTGAAGAAGCCCACATAAAGAACAATTATTTCAAAGTTGTAGGAAATGAAATTGTTACTCTAAATATTGATGTTTTAAAAAACTTTAAAATTTGTAGTTCAAAATCTACAGTGAAAATCTTGAATGTCAAAATTTGAATGATTACTCGCAGTGCAGTTGTGATTACTCACAGCAGTTTTTGTTAATACTGAGAATTATTGTCTTTTGATATTAAAAAGTTGTCGACAATCAATAGCACTAGATATATGCCTAAATTATTTTTATATTTTTATACTGAACACTTTTAATTATAAATGAAAAAATTTTTTTTTACATGCCTGATACTGAGAGGGCGGTTTGCAATCAAAAGCTTTGAACTTGAATAACAAGGTTTGAATAAATTATTTTAAAACCTTGTATACGAAAAGTGAATTAATCAAGAACGGTTTTGACAATTACAATATTTGAGTATTTTTAAAATTTTGATTCTTAATTACACTTAAGTGTTCTCTCCGTGTTATATTTTTGTCTGAAATTACACCTAAAAATTTTATAAAAGATTTAAAGGTTAGAAAGACATGCAAATAATGCAGCACGATATGATCAAAGATTAGAGTCTTTGACAAGACATCTTCAATTCAGTGGGCACGCATCGACCGGGGGACATCCGTTGGATGTCTTACGGATGTTAGACATCCAAAGGATGTCTCTAGGACAACGCATGCCCACTAGAAACTGTGCGGGTGCAGCAGATAACTCAGCAATCACCCATGCAACCTTTTGTGAATGTTTAACAAACAAATTTTGAATTTGTAAGTACTTATCTATAATAATTATGAGTGGTCGGATCAATATGGCCATAACTGTATTATAAGAAAATTTGTTTATATATACTCTGAAAAAATATTTTTTATAATATAAATTTGTTTATATATAATTTGAAAGTATAAACTCTATGTGGTTATTTTATTATTTAAATCTTGGGAGTAATTTTAGCCTCTCTTTAATGTGAGCAATCATCTCCTTAATGTAACAAGCAATAATGATTCTCTTTTATTGGTAGAGTACAGATAAGTTTTGCAGCATGAATATAAATCAATAGAGTTGGATAGAAATTTGAGATCCGTGGTTTGTTTTCATATATTTATATTGTTAATTATTACAGTGTGAATGAATTATTAACTTTGAATGATTTTTAACTAAAAAGCAAAAATTTTATTTAAAAACTTTGGCCAATATATTATTATATAAAATATCTTTAGAACGTCATATAAAATGTCTTTAAATAAAACTTTAAATCTATCAATGAATTTTGATCTCGTTCAAGATGGTATAAGGAATTAATAACTTAGATAGTGAGTGCGTGGGGAGGGGGTTGCCCCAATTTTTTTTTTCTACTGGGACGTGTACCGTGCAACCCTTAGTATTTTTTTCATATTTTATCTATATGTTAGAACTTCTTATCTAGTCCAAATATAACAACAGTACAATACAGGGACGAATAAATGATTTATAGAGACAAAGACTGGAATCCAAAGTAAATAAATGACAAACATAATAAAAAGAGGCCATAGTAGATGTTAAATTTGCAATTAATTGTTTAAATAGTTTTCAAAAAAGGTCAGTAGTAAATAATAATTCAAGAAGACATAAAGTAGGTGACTCAGTAAGAGCGTTGCCATTCATCAATTTAGGCATGTCAATAATATGGCGATAATTGTTAGCAGTAAAAATCTGAGTTTTGTTTGAGTTAAAATTCACCAGCCATTGCAGGCCCCAAGTTGTTACAAAAACAAAATCTCATTCAAGATCGACTACTTTTTCTAAAGTAGCCGATCTTGAATGAGATTTCGTTTTTATAACCTAAAGATAACCCAGAACTAGTAGAAACGAAGGAAAGTATTTTTTATCAAGAAGAACTTTAATACTGCAACTAGAAATGAATAACTCAACCATTTAAAAAACTTTCTCAGATCCATCATATAAAGCGAGTTCATGGAGAAGACCTGCATTCTAGACTTTATTGAAAGCCTTTGATGTTAAGAAAAATAGCGATAACATCGACTTTTAACCTTGTTTGACTTTAATACATTAATTCAATCTAATTCATAGAATGAATCAATTAAATCGATTAAATTTAACAAAAATGTAGTGTTATAAGTGATCGTCCATAAATTACGTAACGCAAACTTTCACGATAAACAAAACAAAAAAGATCTAAAGTTTTCCCTCGCAAAGTCATTATTTAAATAAAAAATCAAAGTAGCCCATTTAAGTTTAATAAAAAACGCCGCGTTTAAGAGCTTATTAGTCTGGGTGAATAAAAATGACCAATTGCTTTTCTCAATAATTGGTCAGCTTTACGCGAGTAAAAACTTTAGCCGTTTTGCTTAAATTTTTATTCGCGTAAAGTTAAGCAATTTACTCAGAAATTGCTCAGCTTTACGTGAGTAAAAGCAATTGCTAATTTTTATTGACCCGGACTAATATCTCCTACTTCTGTTTTTTAAATATATTTTGCGCTGCATAATTTATGGACGATCCCAAGGTCAAAAAAGCTTTGAAAGAATCTTAAACGTTTTTAGTTTCAAATAAATGGGAGATGTTTATTTGGCATCTCATAAAACAATTATTTTTTTCTAATATATGTTTAGCTTGATCTCAGGTTTTTTACCCAGTTGTACATTTGCAAAGCATTTTAAAATTTTTAATATAATATAGTAGGCCATGACGGAAAAGGATTTATATAGCAGTTTTAATTTATCATTCCCTTGTATTTTGACTTTTGATTTATTTTCTTTGCCGTTAGATAAATGCATTGTCAGTTTATCCTCATCTCTTAACCAAAAAAAATGCGGAAACAAAAAGTGTTTTTCAGATTATCATAAAGCTAGAATCATAAAAAATGATTATTGTATTGAAGAAAGGAAAAACGACGTTTTTCAAGCAAGGAAATGGTATAATATCAATGATGGAAGTTTAACTTCACGTAGTGAATTTCCCTTTAAAGATATTCCATTCTTAAATCAAAGCTTGAAAGATCTTTATTTTTTTACCGCTGTTAATCCTATCGAGTCTTCTTGGTTGATGCTTATTCAATTGTGGAGAGGTGGTATATTAACGCCGGCAACAGATATAATAAAAAATTTTTTTTTAAAAACTAATCTTCATAATGTTGAAACATACAGACAATTAAAAGTTGCATATGAAGATGCCATTAGAGTAAGATTAAATACATTTATGCATTGTTACTTTTTTACTGTTAATTTATAATATTTCTATACAAAAAAAATACATTTACAAATACATACATACGTTTTATGAATGTATTACATATATCGTGTTACATGTTATCAGAGCCGGCGCGAATGGGTGTCAAGTGGGGAAGGGGGGTGCTATTACAATTTTTGCTGACTAAAACAAATTAAAAAAAAAGGTTCTCAATTTTTGAAACCTACCCCCCAACCCCCATCACGCCGGTCTTACATGTTATACATAAATATAACGTATCTATAAGGTATTATATGCTACACACATTAAATATATATATATATATATATATATATATATATATATATATATATATATATATATATATATATATATATATATATATATATATATATATATATATATATATATATATATATATATATATATATATATATATATATATATATATATATATATATATATATATATATATATGCATTTAATTGTGTATATATTTGTATACATAAATGTATAAATACATTTTTGCATATTTATGTGTAAAGATTATTTCAATGACTTAATCACCTTTTGTTGATTATAATTTATAGTCTTTAAACACTCCTCAATACTTTGACAAACCTAGTCTTTATCCACAAACATTTACTGATTCAAGTGTTAATCAACTTTGGAAATCAAACGATATATTTGCTCAAAGAAGATTGGCTGGAGCTTGTCCCTTTCATCTTAGAAAAGTTACAAATTTAGGTAGCATATCAAACATTATTTTTTAAACAAACAAAAAAATTGAAATATATAGAAGAAAAAACAAAAATATATTTTTAGGTCACACTGGTTTTCCCGAAAAATCTTTATTTAAATTGTTGAATAAGAACTATGATTTTGATGATTTAATTAATCGTGCTAGTAGAGGTTCCGTTAAATCAATATCTCAGGTAAACAAATCTTTCTATATAACCTATAACTATTGTTTAATAAACTATCAATTGTAGTAACTATTGTGATCGTAAAAATATGAACATTATCTAATTACTTTTTAATAATTTACAGGCAATAAAGGATGGCGTTTTATTTATTTTATACCATGAGTTGTACAATGATATCCTCACCCCATCTGCTATATTAGGCAAAGATTGGAATGCTAACCGAACCGTAATGAATAACACATCTCCAATCACCTTATTTGTCTTGGTAAATGGAGAATTTAAAGTTGCTGCAATACAAATAGATTACAAACCAAGTAATTATTTCCTAAATTAGCAACGAACTTAAATAATATTACTTGTAAAATCTCCAGAAAAAACTTTAAATATTAGTGATATACTAGTAAACGAATTTAATTTTTTAACACAATATTTGTTTAGCTTCTGCAGTTTATTCTCCTTCATCCCCAGAAGATCAATGGCTTTTAGCTCGTGCAATGGCAGAAATGACTGATCAAGATGTCTGTGATGCTAAATTTCATTTAGGGTTTCTACATTTACATGCTTCTATTTTTTGTTTATCTTTCAGAAGGCATCTAAGTACCCAGCATCCACTTTTTGATTTATTTAAGTGGCACTGCTATGGTACTATTCCTTCATACAGCCTGAGCTACCCAAGTCTCTTTTCAGACAAGTTGGTAGCTTCTGCAATGGGTGGTAAAGGATTTTCAAAGCTATCTAAAATTGGTTTTGATGAAGCTTATTACGGTCAGTATGATCTTGAACACCATTTAAAGGTATAACATTTTTACTATGTAATAGTTATAATATATTACTGTATACTACTACAACTACTTCTTGAATTTTTTAACAATGCATCAATAAAAATCTTTTTATTCTTACTTAATTAAAATTTCAATTACCAAAATTTTTAGACGTAGTATATATATCTGTCTATCAAATCTTTGGTTTTTCTTTTTAATTAATTTTATTATTTTTAATTACTTTTTAGAGACAAGGTTTAGATGACATAAGAATAAAATATTATCCCTACCGCGATGACACACGTGTTATTAGCAAAGAGCTTTTAAGTTTTAGCAAAAAAGTTGTGAACCTGTAAGATGATTGAATATATTTAATTTTAATTATTAAGTATTGATATAACAATGATAAATATTAATTTCAATTAGATTTTAATTTTCAATTATATTCATTTAAAATTCAAATAATTTTTTTTTACTTTACAAGAATAAAGATTACTTTATCAAGTTAAAAATTTTTCGGTTACACAAACTTTAAAAGATTTCTTTATAAAATAAATCAGTCCTATAAGTCAATAGATAAACTTACGAAGTTGATCTAATTTAAAGTGAAAGATCAGCCCTTTTGTTTTGCCATCCTTAGTGGTAGAGTCACACACAATGATGGAGTTCAGAGCTCAACTCTTGGAAGAAACATATGATTCTAAACATGTTAAAACAGATTTAAAACTTAAATCAGTCCATAACAGAATCAATAACACAATAAAACTGGTAAACTTCAAAAGCACCACCAAGCTCTTGTCTTTTTAACTAAAACATGATTTAATAAAAACTCTATTTCTAATCTCACAAATTATATTACTTACAGGCATAATCAAAAAACTAATCCTCATGGTGGATTCATTTATATATCTGACATACTAATAAGCCATGAAGTAATTTATCTTGAACTTAAAAAAAATTGATAAGTTTGGTGTTTGGTCATTCTTGGAAATGAAAAAGTTTTAGTTAGTTGTATATACCGTCCACCCTTTAGTAATGACTTTGTAAATAATTAGATTAAAGCCTCTATAAATTTTCATCTAAATTAGAGGAAAATAAACACTTCTTACGTCTTCTTATCACAGGAGATTTTAACCTTGACAGTACCACATGGTCTAATTACACTTAATCCACCACAAGCGCGCTAGCTGAAGACTTTATTGAGACCTTTGATTCCAACCATTTAATGCAACATGTTTTTTTTTGTTTGTTTTTTTATTTAGTTTATTTCGCCATTCACTATAAATAGAGTTTTCATATACATACATATACAACAAAATAAATATCTGGAGCAAGCAGAAGACATAATTTCTTATCACCAAGCACTATTTTTATAAAATCGTAATTTATAAATATATTATTGTAAATACTTAAACTAGAAGATAATATACCGTATTGTTTTATATAAGTTTTAACAGACCCAATTGCGTGGTTGAAAGCTCACCTCTTCACAAAAAAGGATCTAAACTTGATGCATCAAGCTACAGACCCATTTTGTTAAGATCTGTCTGCTGCAAACTCTAAGAGCGTGTTATAAAAAATTATTTAACCAAGTCTATCTGCTAATAGTCTTTTATCTCTAAATAAGCATAGATTTGTTCCAAATAAACCATGTACTACCAATTTATTAGAAACTGTAGATCAGATCTCATATTCAATGGCAAAAGGCTATAGTTTAGATGCTTTTTATCTAGATTATAAAAAAGCGTTTGACACACCTCCTCGTGATCTTATGCTTCACAAACTTTTTGGTTATGGTGTCTCTTATATGCTACTTAATTGGATAAAGTAGTTTCATTCTAACGGAACACTGCAAATTGTTATGGGTTCTGCTACTTCAGATTGGTTACCAGTCACTAGTGGTACAGATCCTTGTGTCCCACAAGGATCTGTTCTTGGACCTCTTCTACTCGTTGTATACATCAATGACATTACATTAGTTAGCAATCCAATAAAGTTGTATGCTGATAACAGCAAAGTTATTTCCACCAATTTGACCCCTGACAGCCCAATTATGCTCCAAAGCAACATAAATCAAATCACATCTTAGACTACAACCTGAAGCTTGCGTCTTAACTACAAAAAGTGCCTTACCTTACACTTCAACAAAAACAAAAATCTTAACCGCCAATAATATATCTTGATTCCTTTTACAAAATAGCTACTTGATTCCTCTCACAACAAAAGAGATCTTGGCATTCGCATTTTACACAACCTCAAATAGGAATGCATGTTAAAATAATATCATCAAAAGCTAACTCTGCCCTCGGTCAACTAAAGAAAGCTTTCATTTATAAAAATGCACAATTCTGGAAGAGGCTTTACACATCGCTGATAAGACCTCATCTTAAGGATGTTGCTTCTGCTTGGAATTTTCTTTCTTCACTTAACATTAAATAACTTGAAAAAGTTTAAAACCCTATCTCCAAAGAAATTCCGCTTCTTAGAGCGTTATCCAGCCAGATTATCACATCTTTATCTCACCTTACTAAATAAAAGACGCAATCGAGGTGATTTAATCTACAATTTTAAGTTTATTAATAACTTAGAAAATATTTGTTTGCTTAACCCACAAATTGGCTATCCATATGATCGAATAACTCAAGGACACTCTCAGCGTCTCCTCAAAGACCTCAACAATAACATGCGAGCCATCTCTACTAGACTTAACTTCTTCCCTAATAGAGACTTCAGCCGATGGAATTTACCCCCACAAACTGAGATTGACTCTCCTCATCTTAATGAGTTTGAAAACCGTATTGACAAACCAATGATTGGCATTAGCTTTACAATTATCTACCAAAATCCTGCTACAGCTCATTTTCTACTGACAAGGAGCTAAAGGGTTGCGACCCCTTTCAAGCGAGAGAGAGAAAAAACATAAAACATATTTACTTTGCGCTAAATTTAGCGTTTTTATTTCGTTTAGTTCTTATGTTAATATTTTCTTGCCGCATTATCATTATATATATAGCTTATCTTTACTATTATTAATATTACTTGATTAATTGTGATTGTTCCCCATAAAATAAAATCAATTCATCGCCTCCCGGTAAAGTTATCAATACTGTACCCACGGCTGATTGCAGTTTTGCTGTTTTTGAATTCAGCAGAAGAAAGACGTGTTAAGATTGCAGGCTAAAGAATAAATAGCTAGAATGGTAGCTTGTATCTTCATAAAAAGGGTTCATTAAAGATGGTATGATGGATTCCAGTACGGTACAAATATTGTTTGTCTAAAGTAGTCTTCCCGTTAAAGCTCTGTACTTTATTCAATTAAATTTGTATATATATCTTGCTTGAAATGAATTTCGGCATTCTATCAATACTCACGGAAAAGTTTAATGTGATGATTAATTTCTAAAGTAAATTCCATTGTATTGCTTGCCATGACTTTGCAGAACATGTAAAGATGAATTGCAGAATATGTAAAGATAATCACAAGAATTACAACAAAAGTTTGTAAAGTATAAGAACACTGTAACTGGTAAGTCTGCCACGCAGTACTTAATCTAGGGTGAATGCCGTTGAAGTCTATTGGTTTGATTTTAATCAGGTATGAAAGCTTTGGTTTGACGGGTTTGTATGATGCAAATGTGTTCCATTGGTGTATGCTATTAAAGCAAAGGCTGATCATTAGGAGAAGCCGTGTTGACTTAGCATTAAAAACTGGTTGAAAATAATATTGTTTTACAGATTACTTAAGGATCTGTTACTGTTTGATTATTAGTTGTATCAAATTTCCACCTACAAACAATGCAATATTCATTGCAAAAATATTCTTTACAATATTCTTTGCAAATTTGCAGCAATTTTTGTTGCAATGTTTATTGCAATATGTTTATTTTTTTTAGTTTAAAAAATCCAGGTTGGGTCAAACGATGCTTCTTAATTCATGCTGAGGAAGCCCATGAATATATGCGCATAACAGCATTCTTAACTTTCTTTAGGCATTGTAAATATGTGTCGTGCACATATATATATAAACTACATAAACTGGAGACATGTTCATATCACTTTTTTCAAATATAATAATGGTCGCTGTAAAAAAAAAAAAAAAAAAAAAAAAAAAAAAAAAAATATATATATATATATATATATATATATATATATATATATAATTTTTGGATGGGTTAAGTTGTTCGGAATCACCCTTTAAACATGTGTCCGATATCACACCCGATCATAGCTCATTCAAAAATATTGGTTTTAAAACCAGTAAATTAAAGTATTAAACGAATTTTTTTTTTTTAATAAATGTTTCAAATAAAAATGTATTTTTAATAAATGAAAAGTTATTAGTTTACTTTAAAATTAGATACATTATTATGTGAATCAAATATGACGATAATTATATATGATAATTAAATAACATTGTTCTGGTGGGAGAAAAAGTTTTATGAACAAGTACTTGTTTATTGTAATAAATTAGAATAACAAACATTTTCAAGGAATTTTTTTTCTAAATTATAATTTAGAATTTCTATTATAATAGAATTTATTATAACAGTATTAATATATAGTATTAATATATATTAAATAATATAGTATAATATTATAATATATTTTAATTATAATAGAATTCAATATAAAATTACGTAGGGGAAAGTCGGGTAGCCCCGGACGCGGGTATCTCCGGACACTTGATGTACAGCTTAAACTAAAGAAGCTATTTGACTTTTAGTACTATAATAACATTATTTGAGTGAAAATATGGCATATGCAAAATATCTATCATAAAATGCCGAAGCGAGGAGGGAGGGCCAGATTGGGAGGGCCAGATTTTGTTTTGCACCACCAAAGAGCGACTTATCATCATATTTGATATACTACATTTGTGTCACACTGGTAAAAAAAAAGATAAAAGCATGGTTAAACTCTGTGTCTGGGGCCACCCTCCAGTTTTAAAACATATCTTTTTTCTAACATTTTTTCTTTTATGTTTTGTATATTATTAAGATACACAATAATTATTTTTTTGCTTCTAATTCGATAGATGGATCTTTGAACTTTTAAAAAAAGCCTTTTCACACTTTTTTTTCTGTTAGCAGAAGTTGAGCACATGTGCATAATCTATATTTTCCTTAAGTGTCCGGGGCTACCCACTTCTCCCCCACGCACTAATATTAGTGCGTACGAAATATTGAATTTATATTGAATCCTCCCCCCTCCCCCAAACGCTTTCGGACAGTTTTTTAAGGCCCTCCTCCTTCTCCCCTATCAGCGTACGTGCTATGGACGGCCCGTACTAACTAACTTCTGTCGACTTTTTTATATTTGAAATACATATTCCTTTCACATAAGATTGTATAAATTAAGTATATTTAAAAAATCAAAAAAAAATTGTCCATTTTTATGTCATTTTTAGTTATTACAAACATAATGATGATGTAATATACGACGAAGAATTGCAAAATTTTGCAAATGAGTTGTCTATTGAAGGCAAAGTAAAACCAGATGGTGGGATAGGAAAGGTTGTTGATTTATTAATTTGTTGATTATTGATTAAAAACCTATAAATGTTGTTGTCACTGTTTTAGTCACCTTGAATAAATAACTTTAAACGTTTTTGTATCTTTTTTTCATCTTGCTTAAAGGTGACTAAAATAAAAAGTAAAGAGAAAAAATAAAAAGTATCAAGTGCATAGTATTATATACGGGTATATAGATAAAATAATACGGAGAACTGCTAGATTATAATCATTAATTAGTATTAAGTCTTTGTATTACAAACTCTTGCTTTTTAAACCGCCATAGTTTTGAGCATGTTTTTTCACTAACTCTAACTTACTATTTGTCATGGATGGTAGTTGCAGCCTAAGATATAACTCATCATTAAAATGGCAGCATACACAAAGAATATATTGTATGCACATGCTACTTCATCAATGCTATTTTAATGTAACTGAGAACTAAACTCATATAATTATCAGAGTAAACTAGGTCTAGATGTTTTAAATAATAATTGTCGAATAAGAAAAATAATTTACTTAAGAACAGTGACGGATTTAGAAATTTTGTTGGTAGTGGTTGGGAGGGGGATGTTGAAATATATTTGTATTCTGTATCATATTTGCGTCTCTTAAAAAAAAAAATTCCTCGGTATCTAAGATTATAGGAGTCTCAGATTCTGGTGGGGGTGGGGGGAATGCATACCCAATACCCCACCCACCCACCATCCCCCCTATGGATCCGTCACTGATTAAGAAATATAATAGTTAATTAATTAACTTGAATAAATAGCTAGTTATTTCATTGCTAATTATTTACAATAACAAAGTTGTTTTTTACAGGTTAAAGGTTTTCCGTCATTTTTCAAAAATAAGGTTGAATTGACAAACTTTCTTCACCAGTTCCTATGGTTTAATATACTACATAGTGTATCAAACTACGCTAATGGCCATTCCTTTATACCAGCTAAACCTACAATATTGTATCATGACAGCGAGTTTAAAAACAACTTCCCCTATAATTTGCCAGATCTTGATGCGGCTGTTGTAAGTAAAGATTTTTTTTTTTCGATTTTGCTATTGTAATTAATAAATTAATTTAGATATTCTCTCATATTATAATAAATAACTTTTACACTCAAAGTTTTTTGTTCAATTTTATTTGTTTTACTTTATCTATATCTTTGTTTAGGAAGCAATTCAACTATCTGTATCTTTGGACAGCTTCAGAGCTAATCGTTTGATGGATTATTCAGATAAAGTTCAAGATAAAAGGTTCAAAAAACTTGTCCAACAAACTTATTGTGTGCTTAACAGCAAAGTACAGAAAACATTAGAACAAAATAATGCTGAACGGAGAGCTGCAGGCCAACTTACATTTCAATATGTAGAACCAAAATGGCTGACTAACAGCATTCATGTTTAATTCTTCATAGTTGTAAATAAATTTTTTTTGTATCTAAAGAAAGATTGTTGAATTTTCAAATACTTTGATTTAATAAGTTTTCATACAATTTTTATTTTTGATTTGTATATTTACAATTTATTTATTTATAATAAATTGTTTACAATTAATTATTTGCAATTAATTAAAAACGAAAAGAAATATGATTATTTTAAGGAGGTTTAATAAACAGGAGATGGTATTACGTGAATTTTATGAAATTTTTCTGCAGACGTTTTGATCAACCCGAAACAATTTCAGGGAACTTAGGACTTTATATAAAACTTTCTTAAATCAAATCAAAATTTGAAAGAAATGATTGAAAAGTTCATCAGTTTATGTTTGGCAGGTTATACTATCCTATAAAAAAACTATTTGCTAACTGATTGTTTTCTTCACTAACATTCAAATTTAAATTGAGTTATTGAAATTGAAACTATTATTTCATTATTATTCTTAGCTATCCGATGATATATTATGAAAGATTTTTGTGATGTAGTATGATATATTCTTATGATATATAATGAAAGATTCTTGTGATATAGTATGAAATTTTCTCGTGATATAATATGATTCTCTTTATATAGTATGAAAAATATTTGTGAATAAAACTAAAAGTTTTTCCCTAAGCTCAAATTAAACTTTAAATAAAAACAAATATATATTTACATATGTGTGTATATATGTGAATATATTTTTGGCAATCAAGCTGACGTCTGGATTTTAAAACTTGCTTCAGTGCGTTTTATATTAGTGTATATACCATACCGTCTCACTTCACAAAAAGGGCATTCAGACATAAAAGTTTATTATTCATTTTAAGTTACTTGAGAATAAAATTAAAATTCTAATTAATTATTATGATTTGTAGATTCAGGGTTTTTAGATTTTAAAAACGTATCCATTATTTACAGATGTGACATTGACCATGTTTAAAGGAAACTTATTCCATGTATTCTACCCATTAAGCCACTGTCTAAATATATTTTTTTTTTCTAAACATATTAGCTCACTTTGGGATTTACGTGATACATATATATATTTACGGTTCCAAAAAAATTACCTAATTTGGACTTCAGGTAATTTTGGGAAATCACTTCAAAGTTTTCGACTATTTGTCTCTTTTCTCAAAAAGTTTATAATACTTTTTTGCAAGACTCTTTTTAATTTGAGAGTGTTTACAGAGAATTCTGATTTTGATGGATGAATGGAAGCTCGAATTTTTATCTCACGTCTTTGCGCCCTGCGTATGGTTTACTTAGGACTTCCAGACTATAAGGCTTAGGGCCTTAGTCGCTAATTGGCTCCACTTGTCATGATTCGCCACTGATTGCATAAATAACATAATTTAATTTAATTGATAAAGTTATATATCCAATTAAAAACATGAGTATATAATTTAATACTAAACAGTCGTACGGTAAAAGCAAAATTTTATCAAGATAACTAGTAAGCTAATTCATTTTTAAATCGATATTTCATACGAATTCAAATAAAAACTAATTAAGTTCGTAAATAGTTCACCGCAGAACTTAGTTTTATTTTAATAACTTTATTAATAACTGTTTAGCGTCTAAAAAATGTAGTTTTGTTCTCAAATTTTAGGAGAATTTACTCTTAAATTTATCCGTTTTTCTTTTATGTTTCCCAAAAAGATGACAGTTTTTTTTTGTTGTTGTATTTTGGTATATAATTTCTATACTACCCATGCCCTTAACATAAACGATTTTTTAAGTTACTACTACCTGAGCAGCAAACAATATTTGAGCAACATTGTTTAGAGTATGTAAACTATATAAACAATATTGCGCTAATATTGTTTGCTACTCGGGTATTAACTCAAATAAAGAAATGGTACCCTTGACACTTTTTTGATTCATTTTAAAATGGGTTGTTTTTAACTGCAACTGTATCTTCACAAAATACTACTAAACAATTGCTCACTTTCCGATTCTATTGGTTTAGGATTTATTGATGTTTCTAGATAACTTTACTTATTTTTTTTTAAGTACATATAAGTACATATAAATGAGCAGCCGTGACCAGTAGTTTAGAGTTCTTGCTCAGAACCCAGAGGTCTGAGGTTCGACGCCAGCTCTAGCCCAACAAGCGACATTGATACAAAAGGAGGCGTGAACTTCTTGTGCACGCCTCCTGTGAAGTTATTGTGGGCATACAGTTGTTTATAAATTTAACTAAAAATTTTTTTTTAGTTGAATTTTTTTAATTTGCTATTAATTTCAAAATTAGCACTTAAATAATTTTCGACTTCTCTAGGTAGACCATAAGCAATTCTTCGTTATCTTCCAATTAATCTACATAAGTAAGTGCTAAGTTAATATTAATCAGATTTGTCAGCACCTATAAACATCTTTTTACAAGCATTGAAAAATAAATTTGTATGTTGTTTAAACGTTATTTTTTTATAGTAAAAATACCGTTGAAGCCAAACTATGGCTCAATCGATATTATGGAGACTTTGCACTAGAAAAATTAATTCTAGTTGATTGGAATACTGAATTTAAACGTTGTTGATAAAAACGCTCCAGGAACTAATAAAGATTTAACACGGGTTCACTTTCCACCTGAACTAAAAAAAAATATTGTTAGCTGAGTAAAAAGAAGCCGAAGAAAGCCGAAGAAAGCCGATGAAAATCGTTTTAAATCTCAAACGTGAGCTGGAAATATTTTGAAACGCAAAAGGTATTTTGTTTTATCTAAAAAAAAATAAAACTATCAATATGAAATTTATTAGATAGATAGTATATAAAAATGAAAATGGTGGTAAAATTGAACAACCTTTATTTTGAACTACTTTTCCGATTACCATATTTTTTAGCAATTACAAGCTTTTTGCAACTTAAAATAGATGCTCTTGAGAAAAAAGTTGGGTTTAAATAATAAATGGTTGTCAAAATTGGAGACTAATTTTAGAGCAAACTCAATAGAAAAGGTATTAAACATTTAACAAAAAACAAAGATATCAATTATACACTGTTAAATTGTATAAAAAAATCTAGATTAACTGAAGCAATTTGCAAACTACGTACAAATAACGTACAAACAAGTTTAAAAACTTTTGAATATTTTAACAAAATACCGTAATTTATAGTTCATTACAAAAAATAAAAGATGTTCACTCACGGATATTAGAGATACTCACCCCCGAAATTAAAAATCCTCACCTCCTACAAGTTTAGTACTAACTGTTTAACGCTACTTGCTGAACTTCCTGTGAAACTATAAAACATTACAACAGCAACATTTCAACTATTTACTTATGTTTTTTAGATAAATAAAAAGCCATTTTATAACTTTAACAGGTGTATGCTGCTTGATTATATATTTTTTCATAAAAAGCTACCACTTTGTACAGTTTACACAATTTCTTTATTAAACAATAGTTGTAGTACAACATATTAAGGTCTCATATTAAGGTTGCAAATCAAGTTCTTTTTTTTTAACGCAAGGAGTAAGATAGGGATAAATATTTTCATCTCACCTCTATAACATTTATTCAAAAAACTTTCTTGAGATTATTAGTAGTCAAGTCTTCTTTAACATATCTATGTATAGTAATTTTACTTGCATGGTAGCCATGGTAGCATACATCAATAATACTTGACTTCTAAGCTCTACCTGTCTCAAAAAAATTTTGAAAATTTTCCAGCGTAAAGAGTATTGGAAAACCTTTATGATATATCTGCCTGCAGATGTAATTTAGATGAAGTTCTTTACCATGATAGAGTGGAAAGCAACTATATTTAGTTGCTTTCCACTATATATATCTACGATAAAAAAACATTTTGTATGTGTATGTCCCCCAAAAAAGTTTCTTTACATACTACGTAATACATTGTTTCTTTAAACTTTCTTCTTAAAGTAGTAATATAAGAGTATTCCTGCAAGTTTCCATTTGATTATAAATTAATGATATTTTGTTTCAATTTATTCAGATTTCACTTGAGGAAAGAGAAGACCAAAGGTCAAGAGTTAATACAAAGGGAAACATTCAGTTAGTGGCAATGGATTGGAGTGCTGTAAAAAAAGAAAAAAATAATTAGCAAAGTGTCCAAAAAACCTTGCAGTTACTTCTTCAAATACTGGCGAATCATCTGCATTTGATATTAATATGGAGTCTGATTCAGTATAAAAACAAATTTATTTTTTATAACTAAAAGTTTTTCATATTAGCATTTTTTATGAAGTAACTAATTATTTAAAAGAAATTAGTTTACTCTTTATAAAAAGGTAACTCATATTTTTATATGAATATATAAATATGAGTTACCTTAGCACCATATTGTTGAACATCTTGATGGCAGTACAACAGCATTTTATGGTGAAATTAAAATTAGCTGCTCCACAAGATTATTTAAATTATTGTCAATTGTCAAGTTGAAACCTGTTTTTCCTTGTTTAGTTATTCCAGAACAGAGTGTGACCAATAGTTATTCTAGAGTGTGACCAATTACAAAGTTCTGATCAAAGGTTATTTAATTTATTTGGATTAAAGGCTTGGTAACATAAAAATTAGTCTGCAGTTTACTATTATATACTTATTTGTTACTCTAATTTTAATTTTTTGTCAAAATGAAAAAATATCTATATATATATATATATATATCTAATATTTAGATGCTATAAATCCCATGTATGCTAGTTGTAAAAATGGCCTGGTAATGCAAGTTGGCTGACATTAGCAATATGAATTTTAGTTTTGTACTCACGAACAAAACAACCTACTCCAGTTCTGAAAGAAATTGTAAAGTACATACAGATATATTATGGTCTAACCTGGTTTAAAATTAAGAAATCTAAAAACTTTACCGAAGAGCCAAGAATTTTACACACAACTGAAAAAAATAAAATTTTTAACTGATCTAGGCAAGGCATTATACTACCTTTTGTTAAAGAAATTTTTATTGTCTTTTCCCTGAAAACTTTCTTTTATTTCTCATTGTACACGATTTGAAGGATTTTGAAGTTTCAAAAAAAGCTTGTTATATACAGAAAAGATACGGTTTAGCATAAGGAAAACA